GTTTTTATTATGCAACTATTTTTGTTTACGAAGACGTTATAAAAACCATATTATTTTGTGATACTTTAATTCTTTTTATAATCCGGATTTATTTATTTGATCTTTTAAACAATGCAAACGTAAGAAATATGAATTTTTTTTTTTAATATTGACAGTTTTTTGCTACTATTGTACAGCCAAAATGCTTAATATGTAAGAGCGTTTTGAAGAATCTCGAGAAAATTTCATGAAACTCTTATAGCGTGTTTCGCGTCAAATTTTTCGCGAGCAATCCTTATTAATAAAAAATCGCGAATCTACGCTAACAATAAGGAAAAATGATTCGCATTTTAAACGCAGTCGCGATCGAATTAATTCGCGTCCACACGTACCACACGTAAATTTGTTCAGACGCGGTTAAACACATGCGCCGATATAATGCCCTCCTATAAAACGTAAACGTATCGAAAAAGGCATAAAATCCCGCGAGAAAAAGGGAGAGAAAAAAAAAGCCGAATATCCCGACGGCCGCTCGCGTAAATCGAGTTACCGCGCGCTTTATTTCGTTTTGCAACTCGCGGCAAGTTGAAATTATCGTTATTTGCAGCTAGCGGCCATGAATTTAGAAGCAGCCTGTACATGTACGCGCGCGACGATAATTTGCAATCGCGAATAACGTTAACCCTGTAGGTCTTACGTACCGCAAGGGTTATAGCGAAAGCGCTATGCAACCGACGTGCCCATTTTCTTTTTCGCATAAAAGAAGAAAATTATATAGCGCTTGAATAATGTTATACATATATGTATAAACATCTTTTGAATATTTTACTAAGAAAGAAAAATTCTCATATTTACTTATATTTATTCTATTATTTTATTGAAAACTTTAAAAACTTTTATTTAAGACATATAATATACAGTTAGATACATCTCAGTATTTTCTCTTTTTCAAGTAGAAAGTTCTTAAAATAAAATTTATTGGAAATTTGAAGTTAAGGCGGCATCCCTAAAACCAGAATCGATTTAATCAATACATCCACTCGCTTTATGTATGCGTAACGGCGTGACAACCAAGACAGGTGCGCCGATTTTTCAGTTTGCTTTACTGTTTAGCATCGCGCAAGTAACTGGCGGACCCCGCACTTACTCTTCACGTGCTGTGGGATTTATATTACGCTACAAGCCCAACCCTTTCACGGCTCTTCACCGCTTCATATAACATTCTTCTTGAGAAGATTTTACAACTCTCTGCTCCCCTATATATATGCGATTTCTCACACATTGCGCATCCTCATTTCTCGCAGAACGTGAAATTAAAAGATCCTTTCAGAAATTCCTTCTTCTCATGCCTCACGCAATATGAGTATTTGGAAAACATCAATCAAAATGCGCCATGATCTGTTTAAGTATACTATATGCGAATTATATACAAGGTGTCCCATTTTATTTTGAACAGTCAAATATCTGGAAATCACGGGATTAAAAAAAAAAATGTTTCGTATAAAAGTTTTATGATTTCGAGGGGTCATCACATAAGATGGTGCCATTGTTTTGATCTTGGATAGTCGTTTGAAGATCACCTTCAATTTCTTAAATGAAAACCCTTATTTTTCATTACATATTCTTGTAACTTATCTCGAGAACTTTTCAAAACACTATAATAAAATTCTTTTCCATTAAATATTTTCCGAGTTGAGGCTTGAACATTTCGTCACTCCCGCAGTATTTAACGACTCCAAATCCTCTTCGTTGTGTTAATATTTTTTTAATCTATCAAATGTTCGAATTGATGACCAACGGTTGAATGTGGCAAACATTCATAAAAATTGTTTAAACCTCCGCGTAGTACATCTTGGGTAATACCAATGCCGGCGATACTGTAAACTTCAAGCCTTATAACTCGAAAAGTACTTAATGAAAAAATACTTTATTGTAGTATTTTTAAAAGCTCTCGAGGTAAACTACAAGAATAGGCAATGAAAAATTGGGGTTTCCATTTGAAAAATTGAAAGTGACCTTCACGTGATATTCAAACAACTATCCAAGGTCAAACCAATAGCATCATCTTATATCTCCCTCGAAGTCATAAAACTTTTGTACGAAACGTTTCTTTCTAAAATCTCGTAATTTCCAGATATTTGCCTGTTCAAAATAAAATGGAACACCCGGTATATACGTGTACATACATATACATATATATACTCCGTAATAGAGTTTTTGAGTTCTAAGCGATCAAACTTTGCAAATGACATCATGTAGAACTCGCGCGCTCATCCGTAATTACGCGCGTACGGATCTGTCATCTGTTATTGATTTTTACAAATCAGGTTATATTGATTTCTACTGCACAGATGATTTGATTGCTTCTTATGTGTCTAGATACTACGTTAGTAGGCGGTCAGTTAATATTAACGAGTTACAATCGTTATACGTAAAATATTTAACTATTTCTTTAAAAAAATAACAATATTTAAATAATTGATTTAATAATTACATTTAAATAGAAAAATTTGAAACTAATATTTTCACACATTTAAAAACGAGCGTTACTTTTGTCTTTTGATCGGAGAAATATTTGCGGAAATCAATTTATTCATTACCTATCTTGTAAAAATCATTAACAAATAATAGATCGGAACGTGTGTAAGTAATTACGGGCCTGAGCGCAGGAATTTTACACATATTATTGGCAAACTTTGGTCACTTTTAACTCAAAAACTATTATAGCAATAGTCTTAATTCAATATTCTCGTATTGAAATTTTTAATTCCACGATTATTTATATAAATTGTTCATATAATTTGTTTATATAAATTATGTATATAAATCATACCAAGATAAGTTTTCTTCCCAAAGAGAGAGATAATGTAGATTCTCTTCTAAAATTGAAGAAAAATAGACATCGTTTTTTGCTAAATCTATTATAGAATAAATTTTTCCTAATGAAAACGCGTTAATGATCTTCGAGTTATAAATCAATAAGTCTGAAGAGATTTTGCAAATTAAATTTCAAAAATCAAAAATAATGGAATATTATTCCTTATTTAATTTAAAGTAGATTTTATCTTAAAAGAATTGTCTGATTTAAAAAAGAGAGAATTAATCATAGATATCAAAAATCAAACTTCCAAAAGTTACATAAATATATAACGATGTTTTTAATATTCTCTTTCCGTCAATTCCAAATTAAAATTGATTCCAAACTGACTTAAAATTGACTCCAAATTTCGTCGTGGATAACGCTGCGTTTACCTTCTACCAATTCTGGAAAACTGTATATATAATATCTTTTGTTGCAAATATGATAAGCAGCTTTCTCAAAGGATGATTCGGCATACTATACGACTAATACTCTCGTACTTAAGTTCTAATCCGCGCCAGATATCGTGAAATATTCACTGCACAAATGCAGCGCTTTCTCAAAGGATGATTCGGCATACTATACGACTAATACTCTCGTACTTAAGTTCTAATCCGCGCCAGATATCGTGAAATATTCGTGAGATATTTTATCCCTCTATATCATCCCGAATATTTTGGGCTTGTCTGTGATCGAGGTCGAGTGCTCTTTCCTTTAAGTGCTTCGCTTTCGAAGATACGTTTATTCGATACCAGTTCCGAGAAATTTCAGGAAAAATGCCGATGTTTAAGCACAAATCAACGAACACTGACAGACAGAAGTATTCCCCCAAAAAAAGATCTGAGATTCGCATTATATTCATATATGTGTGGTAATCGTTTACAAAAAAAAAAGCTAAGTTTAAATATAAATTTTATTTCTTAAATATTATTAAAGTTTAAAAAAAATTGTAAAAGCATGAATTAATTATAATACCTTGTTGAACAAATTAATCGAGTAAAATACCAATATTACGTAACAAACCAATTGACTCGATATGCGTAGCCTTCTCTGAAATTTCGATACGAGTATCAAGTTAGACGCGTATATTTATGTATCTGCTCATTCCGTAGTACGATATACACTGCAACTGATTGGTTGCTATAAATATGAAATTTCGAAAGTATCAAAGAATACAGAATTCTAATACTAAATATATAAAATGCAGAACTAGCATGTAGAAGATTAGATGAATCTAATTTTATTAAAATCAAAATATATTACCAATTGCATGCATTTAATATTTGTTACTGGCAATACTGGTAATAACTATGATATTCTATATAACATATTTTGTCTATCATATTATAAAATGTTTATTCATATGCTGGCAACGGAATTACAGATTTTCAAATTAACACGAATTATAATGAAAATATCCATGATATATATTAATATATATATATATATATCCGATATTAATATATTATCCGTTATTTATGTTAAATAATTATAAATCTTGTATCCCTCGTTGTGAGTGAATATAATTTAAAAGTTAAATAGATATATAAGATAATGTATGCGTATATAATACGAATATAATATACTAAAAAAAAATTTAATTTTGTTTTGACGATATGATATCATTATATAGCATAATATAATTGATATGATCAATATGATTGATCATGATATGATCAATTTTAAATAAAATTTAAAACGAGATTAAGATTAAACGCTATTCTAATCTGCGATAATTATTTATCTTCCCTTTGCCGTTATTATAGCATAAATGTGAAAATATTTGAAAAGGATAAGCTTATTTCAAAAGCGATTGATTAAAATAATTTCCTCCACGTATGTAGCATCCATATTATATAATATTTCCAGTGCATATTTCGAATACTCCAATAGCTCTTTCTCTCTTTAATAAAATAGAAAAACCAGCTAACAATAAGAGCAACGAAATATTGCCACGAAATATTAATTATTATAAACGCGTTTATAATATCACAGCAAATTAAACTTAAATAAAAATCTTTTTAGATTCCTTGTTGCTTGTGCTTTTCATTGTTATGCTCGTTACATCAATCTCGTTTAAGGAAAAGATATTGAACATCGATCTCTAATAAGAATCTACAATTTATCGGTATTCATTTATTAATGCCACATGTTTTTATAGTTTCCAGCAGAAGAAGAGCTCGGCTCTGGTGATTACGATCTCAACTTGTTCGATGGTTCTGGCAACGCTGATTTGAATAAGGTAGACGTGAGCCGCTAATTGCGCTCCGGTTTCGCTAAATTGTGACGCTACATTGACACTATATGCACTAACTAATTATCCGTTGCATCACACCGCTAGACCACTAACTTCTAAACGTTGAGAGGAAGCTTGGGTAATTTACTAACGGAGTTGAAAATCCGCATGGAACGTTATCATAAATATAATCGTTTGACGGGGAAGCGACAATTAATTTATGAACATGCCTAAATTCTCTGATTGCGAATACATTTTATATATACGTCATAAAAAAATAGATTTCATCTTTTCAAGTTTATCATTAATTTTTTATCATTAATTTTTTTACTAAAATAAATATTTAAAAAAACTGATAAAAGTTGTTTTAGCTGCGCTAAAAGAAAACGATATGTGCATCTTTTACTGTAATTTTATCATTATACAATTACAGAGATAGAGGATAAAATTATTTATATTGATGAATGCATATACAAAATATTTCATTTTAATTTAGCGCGAAAAAAAGTTCTTTTTTTAAATTAAAGACAGAAAACTAAATATAGGAACAAGTATAAATGTTTTTGCTTTAAAAAGCATATTATAATTTAATTCTAGTACATATATATATATATATAATCACTTATAATAATCTGATTGATTTCACAAATTCGCCGACAATATTACAGTTTATATTCTTTAAATTAACTAATCCTTATAATGGACCAAAGTTTTAATGAGAACTTTCTTAAAAGCTCGGCCATTATAAGAAAGTAAAGAAGGGAAGGGAGAAAGAGAAACGAGAAATTGGGTTACGCGGATAATCTCGTAAATACCAGGAGGCTAATCTCTCTAAAATTCTGTTAGAATTTCGCATTGGCAACTTTGCTTACCAGGAATGTCCTGTCGCCGCTCTATCTTTGCCATCCATCCGCAGTCATTACGAAGTTGGACGTAATCCGAATGAAATTTCGGCATGCTTTAGAAATAGAGCGCATATAAATTACGTAAAACCGTTAAATTTACCCTCAAAAGAAATATGAATTGATATGTACTGCGAGTGTATCGGAGTAATATCTCTGGAGTATTATAAAATAAATAAATTAGGAGCGTTATATAAGATGAACAGATTCGCTTGCTCCATTCATGATTAAAGCCGCATACGCATTGCATTTTTATTTTAATTAAATGGAAAATTATAAAGTTCAGAAAATTTTTGAAAGATCTGTTTTTCAATAAAATCGGTTTGTGACACTAATCGAATCAATCGTTATTAAAAAAATGGTTTTCAAAAACCGATTGTTTCTTTTAGATAATTTATTAACGCCAACCCTAAATCATACATAATTTGCATATAACGCGAATGTAAATGAAATACATATGTGTAAGAAGAATTCTATCCGGTACACTTCTGGGAGCAAATCACACGCCACAAGTCAACAGGCTAACGACAAGCCATAGCAATGCGTCTAATGCGTCGCATAGAGACGGACTCTGTCTTTTCCCACCAGATTTCGATAATGAATTAACGATCCGTCATGTGCATAATGTGTATCCTGCCTTTCCGGAAATTTAAGCGAGAGTTTGCATCACAGCGATCGGCGATCTGGTACCGAGCCAATAGCATTTTGTCTTCGATCCAGTTCTCCATGCTTTTATCGTTTACTAAATTCATTGAGTTAATCCGATTCGCGTATACTACGGCGTCTTTCCATCCACCGGAAATGGTTGTCGGTATTTTTCCACTTTGCTCTCTGCATGTGCCGTAAAATTTTTAATACCCTTTTACTAATATCTCTCCTTCTCCACATACGTCACAATATTGAATCTACGATATTGTCGGCAAGTAATAAAGCAGTTACATATCGGTTTTAAATCGGTATATGCAATATGACTATTATTCTGCAGTTTATTTTATGATTCAATTTAATTTAACAGTTTATTTTAAAGATTTAGAAACATATTAGCTTGCTAATTCGATTTTTATTTCCCTTCCGATTTTATCTTATAGGATATCGATTTTCTTCCTCTTTTATCTCATGTCAGTATTCAACAATTAAAAGAGAGTGTTGCTAAAAGATTAATATATTCTATTCATGATTTATTATGTCAAATACTAATGCCTCCCCTCTCTCTCCCCTCCCCCTCCCCTCCCCCTCTCCCTCTCCCTAATTTTAATTATTGTGTTTTAAATAAATATTATATATATACATATATTTGTGTACTTATTATTCTCACGGAGAGAATAAACTTTTGAATAATATCTTATTTAAATAATTATTTTCAATAGTTTGTGCATGTTTGAAATACATTCACAATTGCCTATTAATACCTCATTATCACGATAAATACATATTTGATATTAAGAGCTGTTTCTTTCATTTAAAGATCATATATGATATTATTTTGGAATAAAGATTTTCCGTTAAATGTAGGTTGGACATATGAAAAAATAATATTAATTAATTGTTTTATCACTTAATAATCAAACAGAGATCCATTTTTGTGTGAGTGACAACAAATAACAGTTGACTCCGCGAATCAATACCGATTCAATCTTTATCCCATTTGACTGCAAAGATATATTGATGAAATAACAGTGAATGCATATATTCTTATGATAGCAATCCTGCATTATCACGAATCCCTGATGGGAGATCCTACCTCCCTTGCGCTCGCCCGGAAATTCAGACGAAGTTGTGACGCAAGCTTTTCTTCGCGCGCGGGAAGAGAAAGAAAGAATTTATTTCACCTGTAAAATCTCCCGCATTCCGCGAAAAACTTGGAGAATCTACGTTACGATATGGTGGCGAGATGCAAAGACGCTTTCGTGCATAGGAGATCTGATCACCGGGCTATATACCGGGTGAGCGATTTCAACAGCCCATAGCGACACGTTACACTGCTATTGTAATCGTACGGCAGGTGTTATTATGTGTGTATGCGTGTGTGTGTGCGTGTATATATATGGATACCGCGTAATTCCAGCATCCTGAACGTATATAGGAAAAAAGCACGAATTAAACATGACGAGCGTTTGCAGCAGTGCCAGCTGAAACTTCATTCGTTGAAACTGAAACCCCGCTCATATTCCCAGTGCGTACATTTCCCTCGGTATGCGATGTATGTAACTTTGTATATGTGTATACGTATAAGTCAAAATACATAATTATTCAAGCTACACTTGATCGTGTACTGTAAATTTTGCCTGGCAGTAGAATATTGAAAGAACGTAAGAATTCCGGATTATTATTGTATACGGCTATATGAATCTGACCCAGTTCGACGGAAAAGTAACAAAACAATCGATTATTAAAGCGTTTCGGGATGTTTTCTTTATGCAACACTCGTGTTAAAATAGGTAATAACGAGAGATACATTATTTTAAATAACCTCCCGTTATAATATACCGTAATGCTTGTTTGTGCATTATTATTATTTTATTTTCTATATTCTCGTTGTACGAATGCGTATTGTAATCGTAAATAACTGTATTATGCCCTTAATAATAAATGGCATTCATTCGAATGCGACATTATAAATCCACCGCAACGTGAAATAAGCGAATCCGCGTGCAATAAATGCAAGCTACGGATAGTTACATACCGATGCTGAGAGTATTCCTTTTGTTTTATTCGATACTACGCGTTATTGCAATTGCACAACAGATGCGACGAATGTATTTTTTGTTCCTACGCACGCGTGTATGTCGGTGACGTTCGAATACGCAACGGAACTGTTAAAAAAAATATTACAAAATCTGCGTTCGAAAAATCAGAATCTTTATTGTGACGAAAAATACGGCTATGAGAAGATTCCTTTCATTAGAACGTTTCGGAAAAATATTGGGTTATCGAACAAAAGGTATTAGTCGGCAAAAAATAATAGATTGAAAAAATATTAAACTGTTTGTGCATTCGTACTACAACAAGCGGCCGCGAATAATCCCGTTCGAAAAAATCGAATCGAACATTCCAAAAACAAATTACATTGTAGTGTTACTTAGTTTTTGGATGTGAAATATTTATCGCGTTTCTTTCAAAAAAAAAAAAAAAAAAAAAAAAAAAAAAAAAAAAAAAAAAAAAAAATAAAAAAAAAAAAAAAAAAAAAAAAGAGATAAAAATATCGAATATGTGTATTGCTTTAATGCTTTCATAACTATATATAGATTCCAATGCATTCATGAATTTATATATACATGAATTTTTAGATACATATATATACACAAGTTATGCATATGAATGGCACAGATTATATTTAAGCCAAGTTTTATCATATTGTACGACTCATTTTAAATATCATATTGCGTTTTAGATTTTATAAATAATTAATTATTGGACAACAATATATTCATACTCTTATGTTTTTACTACGAAACAATTTGATAGCTTACTGAATAAATTCTAAAAGCTATGTATAAACACACAGAAAGTAAGATATTTCAAAATCTCATCAAACCATATTAATATTCAATCTTGCGTATTAAATGTCCCTAATATTTAATTAATATATCTATTAATATTATATACACACATGTATATATCTTTTCATATAATATTAATATTATATATCTTCAGATATAAAAAAAAAATCGAAAATTCGAGATTGTAATTTCGACGAATTTGAGGAAATTAACAGATTTCTCGTGGCGGAAATGGGAAACGATATTTTTTGTAATAATGCAAGAACGCGTTCGATCGGCGAAAAATCCTAACCGGATGTCGACTCAGCCCGATAAAGCGCCGTCGTTACCGATAATTATCGGAAAATACTTAGGGCTGGTGTCATGTGTGCTAACCATACTACCTGATTGGCTTGGAAGTTCATTAATCACCGTCACTGCTTGATGTATTATTCGCTTTTAACGTACAAGACAGGTCCGGCATCACGTCTGGAGAACTTTACTTGGGCATTGCATTGTTCACAACTGGCGCATGCGATCATTTATACTACTAGCTAATAATTTACGACGGCAGACCGTGACAAGAACCGGATTGGGACACGATGAAACGTAAGAACAAGATATCGTGTGTAAATTGTCTTGTCATACACATATATACATATATTAATAATAATACTTTAATTCTTACTTATAGACATATATTATTTGTCATGCTCTTTTACGTTTTATTGTGTCTTTGGGTATTTGAATTCCATCATTTGTACATAATTATAAACTCATTTCAGGCCAATCTTGATTCTCCTTTCTTATCAAAACGCTATGAAACTTCCCGTTAACGTAGTTTCATGAATTTCAATGACATTATACCAACACTACGCAAATATTTGACGCCCCTTCGCGAAGCTAATCAAAAACGGTCGACACATTGTCGCGTGTCGCTTCAACATTGTGGTTCACACAATATATATACTTGTAATTTGCATATAAAATAACTAATCAGCAAACGATCGATAAACCAGCCGCGCTGTTTCACCATCTTCGTCGCAACTAAATGCTGTAAATAATGTTTATGCTGTGTATTTGTTATTCGCACGCCTGCATCAAGTCCCGAATTGGCAATCGACGATGACGACTTCGATCCTATCTACTAATCGTCCTATTATGTATCGCTGACAGGATAACGTAATCCGATCTTATCGGCATTGCTTATAATACATTTTCAGATCAGTCGGGATGCGGACGAAGACAAAAGCGAGGAGAGTAATCCACCGCCATTCATCACACCCCCGCCTCCGAATCCAGATTGTAAGTAAGACTATCAAATATGTATTAATCGCGATAACAATATTCTTTAATTGTTTATAAAATATGGCATTATGCGAATGAAACGTAGCAATCTATGCCACGTCATTCCTGTAAATACTAGAAATATAGAAAAAAATTGATTTACGAAATTACCCATGTCTTGTTGACACTTGGATTAATATAAATTAATTAAAATTTTTTATCCGCATTAATATTTTTTAATCAAATTGATAGTACTTATTCGACGTTTCCATTTTTTGATTCCTTGTCACATTTGCATGACAATTTATCTATTATTATAAAATTTTAATTCTTCTTTCTTAGTTATAAAATGTAAAGTAAGTTTTCGTATCAATTTTCTTGCGATCAAATATACTTTTTATTGTTTTTTTATTACATTCACGATATTTTTCCAATCTATATTACAAGGATATTCAAACTATCGTTAAATAGCAATGTATCGTAACAATGATTCGAAATAATCTAACAATTCAATTAATCACCGAAACATTGATATATCCTCTTTTTTTCTAAATCTGATATTCCTAGTAAAGATGGGACGGCGTGTTAAAAATCGTTTATTAATTTCACCATAGATGATGTCGATGCGCGCCGTCGACTTCGGAAGTATCGCGTCGAAGAAACGATGATAAAATATGAAGCAAACTTTTTTAATCTACTTTTCGCGCGCATAAATCATCTTGACGTGTCAAAATAAAGAGCGACGAAGTTGCGCGGACTTACGGACACACATTCGTTCTTTTTTTCAGATAAAGGTCCGAAAGGCGAAAAAGGCGACAAAGGGGATAAAGGGGAGAGCGTCAGGGGTCCTCCAGGCCCTCCGGGCCCGCCTGGTCGCGATGAAGTGAGTGCATTACTCAATTAAGACTTTCTTATAAGCTAGTTCCATACATTATAGGTGGTCATAAAAAAAACAATTATTTTTTATTTTGATTATTTCTAGTGCTTTTTTTTAAATAATTCTTAAACCAATATATGTATTTGAATAATTAATAGAAATTAAATAATCGATTAAACTTATAATGATAATTGCATTTATATTAAGAAATTATTCTAATTGATAAAAAATGTTTGTTTTTATTTCATAACAATCTATTTTGAGATTACTCGTTTATTGATAAATACATCTCCATTTCAAATAGAACAAAAAAATGCCAATAAGAAGGCAATAAATAATTTATAATAAAAAAGATTTACATATATGTCATTGACTAACAATAAGAAATAAATTATATTTTAAATTATATATTAAAAATATACATAGACCTATATGTACGGACTAGTCTACTAGATTATATTTTATTTCATTGCATTCATCGCATATATAGGAATATTGATTTCATTTGGGATTTTCTGAATGAAGGGGATATCTGTTTCCTAATATAGTGGTAGACATCTCGTTAAATTAACTGTAGGGACCGCGATCGCATCCGCAACTATCCAAGCGCCAGGCACGATATTGAAGGCAGCCTGAATGCGCCTGAATCCGGGATCACTCATTTATCTTGTTATTCGCATGAGTCAATTTAGCATCGACGCTAGAGAACCGGTGCCTGTCGCGTGTAACACTGATTACAACCAAAACAGCTTTCGCGCTATTTACTATCTTCCGCCGTTATTTTAGTATGCAATAATATACATACAGTATATATTTACCCGTTTCTAGGACACCATTAAAATTTGATTATGTCGCCGTATAAAGAGCTAATGACAAGTTGCATAAAAGTTAAATTGAAAAGTATAAAAAATATGAAAGCCTAATTGTTAACGTTACTTCTCGTTTTACTATATATGTATATATATATATATATATATATGTTAACTATTTTTGCTTATAACTCAAAAATTACGCTTCAATTCAAATTTTGGTAAAGGAAAAATCGTCTTAGAATTGTATCAGGAATACGTCATTTCACGGACGGAAGGTTGTTCCGGAACACCCTGTATATGTATATATATAATTCTCAATATTATTATAATTGATTTACTAAAGTGAAATTATAAATTACGATAATAGTATTAAATAAATCGATCTTTTTAAAGGATTGGCTAATGAAGATACCACAGGGACCACCTGGTCAGAAAGGAGACCCTGGCACTTGCACCTGTAACGCTACGGCCTTAATGTCTTCCTTTACGATGCCGAAGATGATACAAGGGCCGAAGGGTGAGCCAGGAGTACCGGGACAGGAAGGCAAACAAGGCTTGACGGGTCTTACGGTAGAGATTTTTGTTCTATATATGTATATTCTAGAATATTATCAATCAAAGCACTAGAGAGAGAAAATAATATAGCCACTTATATGCTTTTGTTCCACTATGGCAAAATAAAATATATAATATATTGTAATATCTCTACATCATAGAAAACAAACGTAATGCAGCGATTACTAATATTATAAGATTAATATGAATCATTTATTATATTCAAATTCTAGAATTTTTCAAATTTTTTTCTTTTCCTTCTTCTCGCGTTAAATTTAATCATTTCGGTTTAAAACTATATTAATTTCTGGCGATTCAATTCTTTGCGGATATGCCATATCGTTGTGCTTAATTGCGAGATTTAACATCCCGATTTCAGGGTGTGGCAGGACAGCCAGGGGAAAGAGGGCTGCCCGGCCCGTCCGGGACGAAAGGTGACAAGGGTGATATTGGAATACCGGGGCCGGAAGGTCCCCAAGGTCAGAAGGGCGAACCGGGTCGCGACGGAATTCCCGGTGAAAAGGGCGCGCAGGGTCCGCCGGGACCGCCTGGGAAAGGAGAATTCTCTAGTTATGACGTAAGTAGATTACCACGCCTGAATGTGATCTGTCATGCCAAGGCTGAAAGCCGAGTTAAAATATTTTCCCAGACGCTTCCTCCGCGGCTTGCACCGACTACTTCTGCTTACCCTGCGAGATTTTCTTTATACCCATTATTTCCGGCGACAAGTTGCAATCTGCATAAAACTTCCGTCGAGATTCTTTTTCTTTTATTATCTGCTTTCTATTATCATCAACTTACCAATGGCCGCGCGAGCTGTTGTAACGGAAATGAGAATGTGACGATAATGATTGTTTATGAAAAACTTCATTCTCTTTATCATTTATTAAAATATCTATGTTTTTTTCAACAATGTGTCTCTAGCTGATATTAAATAACTTGTATGAATTATACAACGAAATATTTACATTTAGCAACGGAGCAAATGACTATTGTTATTATTATAAAATTAAAAACTTGATAAATTCAATTATATTTGTCTAATGATAAGCAGCGAGATAACGAAAGCAAACTGAATGTTTGGTTAAATGGTGGTTTCTGCTAAATATAGCAGCGATATGAAAATAAAAATAGGAAAAGTGGAGAGTGATGCGATAAAATGTTAACACGAGGGATATGACATTGAGGAATTCTCGCTAGGAGAAGAACATTTATTGTGTACGCGATTATAGCGAAGTAGCGGAAATTCAAGTGCGCCCGACCGAAGTCGTCGCTATAATAAGCAGATAAGTATCTCCATTCAAGATATTTTCATTATCCGCGTATAAATCTAGCTCAGTCGTATTATTTGCTATTTTCCCGAAACGGACTCGCGGCAACGAGAAACTCGGAGGGAAATGGAGACCGTATCTTTTCCCGCGGAATCGTTGGGCTTATTATCAAAAGTATGCTATTTAAATATCGCATTTGGTACCATCCTCCATTGTGCATAAACTCAGCAAATTATCCCAGTTAATTATTTCTCATTCATATTTGCGGATGATCATTGTATGTAGAGATGTAAGTAGAAAAAAAACAAGTCTCCTTTTTTGTCAAAATTTTAGTTTTTTGTTTTTTTTTCAGATATTTAACATCTTTATATTTTGATTACTGCAAATTTATTTTTCATTATTTTTAACTTGGAAGGCCCTTCTCGCCGCGCGCTTGTGTAAGGCATGGATTGGCCCATCTTTTTAAATTAATTTCTTAATAATTATTACGAAAATCGCAAAATGGTAAAGCACTTTTCTTCTCGGTTTCATCTGCTCTACCTGCACATGGCGGGTGATCCGCGAATTATGGGACACCCTGTATATATATAAAAAAATAAATAACTATATTACTTTTTACTATCCTGTTATGAATGTAATTAATATGACATTGGAACATTGATATAAATAAATTGCTTAGCAAATGATTTCTATTAAAAAATCCTAAAGTTTTTAAAAATTTTTAATCCCCTTACTTTTTCGACATTCCGTCATTTTCAGTGTCCCAATTATCTTTCGCGATATTTCCGATTTTTCATAACAATTCTTTCGAACAGACACTCTCCCCATTTCAGCAACGCAGCAGCTATCTCGCGAAACGAGTTAAATCCACTTAAGATTGATATTCCACGCTGTCAAAGTCAGCGGGGAGGTCCAATTTCTGAAATGCTCTTCCGGCCACGGGTGGGAAAAGAAATCTCCGTGCTGTCGCGGGAACGTAACGATCCTGTCGCGCCTCAAACCGTCAATTTACCCCCGGAGATACGGTCGTTTTTCACCTTGTTCTCTTGTTATGCGGCTCTCTCGTGGAGGAAAAGCGCGGCGACGCGCGCGGAAATATAGTGGCAGAGCGGAGGGCATCGCATCGTCGCGCTTATCGGACCGCATCGCCCCGTTTTATCCACGACACAAACCCGGGTGATGCAGATGCGTCCACATACCGTTGGAAAAGATCGGTTCCGTGACGCAATATTTATCCCGCTCTCATACTCGGCTACGAGAAAGATCGTAGAAAAAAAAAAAAAAGAAAAAGGAGAAAATGCAGAGAAGTGCCCTCTTGCGTTACAATTTTCTGTTTTAGTGCCAGTGACACATCTCCAAACGTTACACTGGCGGGAAAAAAAGGAATTAACTCAGCCCGGCAATTGTTGAGGCGTCTCGCAAAACAGTGGTAAAATCTCTCGTTACTTTCCAAGTTGAGAGGGCGAAAAACACCGGAAGCTTCCTGTCGCTACAATCGTAGATTGTATAAAATGATAGTAGAATTAATATACATTTTGATTTTACAATATACTGTGACGAGTAAATCCAATAAATATAAAAACACTAGCATGCCATCAAAGTTTTTCGATTAAATTGTATCGTTTTTTGTGAGCGTCAATTTGATATGTCCAATATCATCCATGGCGTTTTCAAATTTTATTTTTTTTAGAAACACGAAGGATAATATGGATGTGTCGAGGTATGATGCTCACAAAAACGATTTTATTTAATTGCTTCTGGTTTAAACAAATCTTAGGAAAATGGATATTGATATTTTCACTTTGAATACAAAGTTATAAAGATACTTTAAATGTTTTGTATATATATACCTTGCTTCTACAAATCTTTTCCCCTGTATACAGGATGTTTCAGAGTTAAATGTCCTAACTTAGAATATAAATTTAGGATCTCAAAACAAGAAAAAATTTTCCTCTGGAGATATATTCTTAAACGCTTTGTTTAAGGCTACGTTCCACTTGCCGATCGCAATGCTCGTAAAATCATTTTATCCTTCTTTCTCATCGAAAGTTAAACAAAGACAGATCATGCTTGCGAGCGTTGCGATCGTTTAGTGGAACGCAGCCTAAGAGATATTGACATCTAAAGTTACGGGTAGGAATAATAAATTTATTGTATAACTACGCTAATACATACTTGTTTCCGTAACTATGCATGTCAATATTGATATTATAAAAGCGGTACACAAACATCACAGAAAATAATTTTTTTTTTTTATTAAAATAAAATAAAATAAAAAAATTTATAAT